CCTCCTCCTCCTCCTCCTCCTCCTCCTCCTCCTCCTCCTCCCTCCTGATCCGTCTTCCCCCCGCGGGGCGCCCCCCGCGGCGGTCGCCTGCCCTTGGGGCGGCTGCCCCACGGGCGGCAGCGGCTGCCCTTGCGGCGCCGCTTGCCCCATGGGCGGCAGCGGCTGCCCTGCGCGCGCGCGGGGAGCGCGACGACGACGACGACGACGACGACGACGACGACGACGACGACGACGGGAGACGTCGACGATGACGACGACGACGACGACGACGAAGACGACGGATGACACCAACGAAAAAGACGACGGACGACGACGATAACGACGACGACGACGAGGATGGAGAAAGGGACGAAGCGAGAAAGAGACAAACATATAGGAAACAAAAGAAAGGCGAGAAAGAGAGAGAGAGAGAGAACACACAACAATGAGATATTGAGAGATAGTGTTGTTTGCTCGAGGTCTCGTAAGCCTATGTCCGACCCTCGGGCCGCAACGCGCCCCCGACGCGTGCGCCTCCGCAGGTGGGGCAACTTGGAACAGGAAAAAATCACACGATTACTTTGAACGGTCTATCTATTCAAGAAAATGCGCGAAGCCTCTTAGTAACATGTTTTTGCTCCGTTGCGCGACCACCGCGGCGGCGCGTGCGAATTGCCGAGCCACGTCCCGCGCTCGCGCCCTGAATCTGCAGTCGAGGAGCATCTGCAAATCGCTGAGAACATGTCCAACGGTCGCCGCGACTCGATGCAACGCGACCCTGGTTACTCAAGCAAATGCATCGCGGGGTGAACTGTCAGGACAGACAAGGGGCCCCCCGCCCCCGGACCGGGCCCTGCCCCCGCATCGCCACCGCACCCCCAGGGATCAAGTAAGACAGACAGCGGACTGTACTATAGCGAGGAAGCGGTTTTCCTAAAGCGAAACGACGGATTCACTAAAGCGAAGAAGCGGCTTTACTAAAGCGAGGAAACGGCTTTAGTGAAGGCGCGCCACACGATACATTCAGAAAACACGGCGACTCAGTAAAGCGAAAAAAGTAAAGCGGAAGAGCGGTTGGGGTAAAACTGCGCGCAAAATATCGATCCTCCCATAAAACCTGGCGGGGCGCAAGTTCGCCAGTGGGCCCGAACCCCGTCGCCGCCGTCGCCGCGACCTTCGTCGCCGCGAACTTCGTCGTCGCCGCCGTCGCCGTTGCCGCCGTCGTCGTTGCCGGCGCAGGCGCCGCCGTCGTCGCCGCCGTCGCCGTCGTCGTCGCCGCGACGCTCGCGCATTCGCGTTGTTGCCAGCGGCGGGTTGCGCGCGACCGCGCGCGCCACTGCGCTCGCATCTCCGCTCGTCCGACGAACGCCCAGGCGGACATCATGATTTTCTTACGCCCACAACTCACTCAAAGTAATAGTGGGAAAACACGCCTCTGAACAACGGGCCGTCGCGACTGGGGGACGAGAAGTTCTGCCGGGAACCACTCCCTCATGCCAAGCTCGCGCAGAGAGAGGGGGAGGGAGAGAGAGCGAGAGAGATGAGAGAGGGGAGCGAGAGAGAGAGAGAGATAGAAAGAGAGAGAGAGCAGAGAGGAGAGAGAGAGAGAGAAAGAAAAAGAGAGAGAGAGAGAGAGCGAGAGGAGAGAGAAAGAGAGAGAGAGGAGAGAGAGGGAGAGAGAGAGAGAGAGCGAGATAGTGGATATATATGGATATATATATATATATATATATATATATGGAGAGAGAGAGAGAGAGAGAGAAAAAAAAGATGAGATGAGACGAAGCGGGGCCTCCGCGCGGCGGCGGGGCCGCGGGCTGCCCGGCGGCGCCCAGGAACGAGAGCGGGATGGCGGGGGCGTTGGGGTTGGCGCGCACCTGCCTGGGCGGGCGGGCAGGGGGATTTTCGACGAAAAATAAAAGATACCCCCAAAATAACCAAAAAATAAACCAACATAATCTGGGGACTATTTTTTGCATATTTTTTGACCATTTTGGAGTATGGCTGAATATTTTTGATTTTTCACAGAAAATCTCCCTGTAGGGGGACACGCCCGACTTGAGACAAGGTGCCAGAGACCATCGCGCGCGCGCGGCGGCGGCGGCCGCCCCCGCCAGGGCTCGTCCCTCGTCTGGAGGGGCAGGGCAGGTCTGGAGGGGGGCCTAAGACGCTGAGGTCATTGATTGCCCCAGGAGTTCGAAGGATTTGAGCGTTCCCGCCTCCCCAGGCGTCTGACGCTCCAGGACAGCCCGGGACCCAAGAGGCTCGCAAAATCCCACCACGACGGCGCAAGATGACCCCCCAGACAACCCGAGAGGGGCCCGAGACGGCTCAAGAGCCCCCCCCGCCCTCTCCCGAGCCCCCCCCCCCCGACGTTGCCCTCCTCGAGCCCGCGTCCCATCACATCCTCGTCCTCCTCCTTGTGGAACGCGGTGGGCTGCTGTGAAACGCGCTGGCACGTTCGTGGCCCAAATGGCCGGCAGGGCGCCCCTGCAGAGGGAGGTGACCCCCCGCGCTCCCCTTCTCCGCAGCTTCCCCCGCCCTCCCTCGCCACCCAGGAGCGAGCAGAGGCGGCACCGCCACCACCAGGGAACCGCGGCGGGAGGAGACAGGGTGGGCCTCCCCTGGCGGTGTGGCCCCCCCTCGCGCTCGAGGCATCGCCCGTTCGCAGCTCGGAAGGCATCGCGTACCTCCTCGCTGGAGGTGGCCCCGCTGGTGGTGGTGTCGCTTCTCCTGCCCCCGATTCGGGGACGTCCGAGAGGGGAGCGTCCAAGAGGTGGTTCGCAGATGATGGCCGGAGGCATGTGCGCGGCCCAGCGGTCGCCAGGGGACGCTTTGAAATAAGAAGAGGGGGCTGTGAAATCTGGGGAGATCCCACGGCCCTGGCCATCCAAACTGCTCCTTAGCATTATGTTGTCCCCATCCTACTTAAGGACCACATCCCGGAAATAATTTCGAGCAACCGGCAAAAAGTGTCAAAAGAGTGTCGACACAGCGTCGGGCGAGTGCCTCCCAGGGCCCGACACGTGAAACCCATTGCGTGTCGGCAGTTGTTTGGGCGCTCGAGATATTCTTTCTGGCGATCAAGGCTGAAGCAGGCTAGAACATCATAACCTTAGCATGGGCCCTGGACCCCGGGGCCTCCCCCCAGGACGAGCGCGTCGTCCTGAGGCGTGTCCTGACAGCCCCGAGGCCCGTGGAAGGGCCCCGGGAGCCCGGCGGTGGCAGGAGCCCTCGGGAGACCCGCTTTTCCTTCGGGACCCGCCCTCCTCCCAGGGCGAGCTCCGCGCTTCCGCCGTGCGGCGTGCCGACGCCGCAGCCCGCCACCCGAAAACGGGCGCTCGCCGGAGCCTCCTGCGCTGCAGCCGTCGCAGGGGCGGCCGCCCTCCGCCCCGCCCAAAACCCGTGGGGCTCGGCGCCAGCGGCCCGTCAGCGACAGAACGCGCCGAGACCACCCGCAGCGCCTCCGACGAGGCGCTTATTGAGGCAATAAAACATATGTCTGGAATGAATGGACAAGACACCGGGTGTTGATTGGCTTCGAAGAACTGTGCTTGAAAGAATGCTCGACATAACTACATTCGAACGAATTCAAAAGACTGACTTTGAGCGAAATGGCAAAATACATGTTTCTCGTATGATAAATCACTCAATGACAATTGTTGAAATTCGCCTGGCGACGAATCCAACCATATGCAAATGTGAGTACCGCTCCGTGGAGCTCCCTCTGGCATGCGAACTTTAACACTGCGGCCTTCGGTGGAACCACCCATGGGGCCAAGAAGCGCTGTACTGGGTGGGGGAGACGCAAGCAAACTGTGCCACTGGGACCTTCGGTGGAGATCCCTCCGGGGCCACGAAACGCTGTACTGGTTGGGGAGACGCATGCGAGCTGCGCCACTGGGACCTTTGGTGGAGCTCCCTCTGGGGCCACGAAACGCTGTACGGAGTGGGGAAAGACGCATGCGAATTGCGCCACTGGGATCTTCGATGGGACCAGGAAACCATGTACTGGGTGGGAGACGCATGCGAACTGCGCTACTGGAACCTCAAAGCAGAACAGTGCGAAAATTGAGGAAATTTGAAAACTGCAAACAATGAACTAACAAAAACCAGAGAGATGCGAACAACGCGAAAAATGCGAAACGGAGAAACATGGAGAAAAGTGCGAAAAGTTCCGCGAAGCGTTCGAAGAGCGCTCGAAATGCAGAAAAGGGACGGGCAGAGGCAGGGACGAGAGGAGTGAGGAGGAGGAGGATGAGGAGGAGGAGGAGGAGGAGGAGGAGAGGAGAGGAAAGGAACCTGGGGACTGTCTCTTCAGAACGAGGACCCAACAACGGGTTCGCTGGGAGCAGTGACGAGCGCACGCATCGCGTTCCCACGACGAGCGCGCGCGGCTGTGCTCCTCTGACAGTTTCTCAGCGCGGCCCGCTCGGAGACTAGAGCTGCTGTGAGCGCGAGTCTCCCTCGGGGCTGGCCAAGAGGGGGACGTCTAGGAGGGGGGGGGGCGCAATTAATGGCTGCCGGCACGTGCGCGGCCCAAGGAGGGGGGGGCCGGGGACGTCTTGAAATAAGAAGAGGCGCCATGAGAACTTGGGAGATATTATGGCCCCCGCCATGAGATCCCCCTCCCCCCCTAGTCATCACCACCCTCTCTGCCGCCCCCGACTCCCCCCGCCTGGGCACCGCGGCGCACGACGGCAAGGGGCAGGACCTTCGGGCCCAAGACTGCCGGGGCCTGAGCCTCCATGGCGCTCTCTGCCCTGCCCTCCGGGCGTTGCGACGGCGGTCCCTTCTGGAAGTCGTGCCGAGGGGCGCTGCCTCCTGATTCCTAACCTCCTAGCATGGGGGAAACGGGCCCTGAGGAAAACGGGTCCTGGACATGGTTGGGGCCTTCCCCCAGGACGAGTTTCCCACTCTGACTCGCCATTCTGACAGAAGGCCCCGGGCGAGCGGAACAGCAGAAATCCCAAGGACTCGGTTCCCTCAGGACCCGCTTCCCCAAATTATTCTGCTCCACCCTCCTTCATCCGGTTCCCTCTCCTCTGTCCTCGTCTCCCTGCTGCTCCTCCTCCTCCTCCTCCTCCTCCTCCTCCTCCTCCTCCGCCTCTCCGCCCTCACCAACTCCCCTGTTGGACCCACGCAGCGCATCCGGCGACTACCAGGAACCTGCGAAGCGTGGCGGCGCTTCGAGAAGGACCAGGTGGCTACCCACCAGACCACCCCAACCAAAACCGAAGACCCAAATTTCGCGTTGGTGGCCAGATTTTCGAGCCGCGGCGACGAAAATGTGCAGAAACGCTAAAAAACAACCGAGGACGACGTACAACGTACTACGTCGACGACGAATAACCACCGAAGGCGACCTCTGCTGGAGTGCGGTCTGACCAGAATGTCGAGGCGGATCCCGCATCCCTCCCCTGCCACCTCCCTCCCCACCCCCCTTCCCTCCTTCTGACTTACTGATTTGTTGCACAGCCCTGGAGAGGGACACCCCTAACTCTCCTGCGTCAGCTGCCGGCTTTGCTGGGTGCTTCGGGGGCTCCAGGCGCAAACTGATGAAGACTGATCCTGCGAAATCTTACTCTTCCTTACTTATCAGTCTCCGAAAATGACACGCAGGAGCTCCGTACTGAACCGCCCCCTCCCGTGATCCCTGCCAATGATAATCCCGAGGAGCAGAGGGTAGCAGATTTTCTGCTCGGCTCCCCAGAGAAGCAAACCTCGAACTGGCCTTTGATAGCCTCCTCTGCTCTCTCTCTCTCTCTCTCTCCCTCTTTATCTCTCTCTCTTTCTCTCTCTCTCTCTCTCTCTCTCTCTCTCTCTCCTCTCTTTACACATACAGAATATAAATACTACTCTCCTCTCTCCCCTGATGACGTCCGGAAAAAATCCGGCCCCCCTCCGCATACTGTTTCTTCACACACAAGGTTCCCGGGGTTTCAACATGCTGCTCCCGCTGAAGCACTGGCCTCATGTTCGGGCTTCCGCTCGTTCCGAATCGTGCTCCCGCTGTAAAGCTAAACTCATTCCCGCGCTTCCGCTCGTTCCGAATCGTGCTCCCGCTGCAGCAGTGGCGTCATTTTCTCTAGTGCCATGCCACGGCCATGCCTTCAGCTGCAACGCTAGGATATGCAGTGCTTGACTACGCAGTGCCACGCCATGCTATGCTTTGATATTCAACGCCATGCTATGCCATGATCTATTATGTGCCGCTGTGCGATGTCACTCTTTGCGTTGCAATGCGTTGTAATGCAATTCTTCACTACGCAACGCCACGCCATGCTATGACATACTACGCTCTGCCGTGCTCTTCTACGCCCTGGTATGCCGTGCTCTACGATGCATCGCGCACGCTCTCGGGATCATTACCCTGCTCGACATCCGACTGTGCGAATAGAGAGGAGATCTACGCCATGGGAAGCGGTGGGCGGGAGTGGTAGGAAGTCAGATATGACGCGAGCGCACCTAGCTTGCCTCCGCCCCCTCCCCCATGACCCTTTCCCTCTTCTCTGCGCAACAGGCCAGGATCGAAGCGAACAAGGCAGCCGCTCGGTGCACCCGTGCTGAGAGGCTCCGACTGCGTGTGGCGCCGTGGGGTCAGCACCCGCCTCGCGCCAACCTCTTCTCGGAGCAAACGGAGGGACCCTCGGACGCTCAGGTGGAGGCTTCGATGGCGGACGTACAGGCCTGGACCGACCTGCTGGCCTGTGCTCCGTCCATCTGCCTCTCCAGGTGTTGCTCTTTCTTCTATTTGCTCAGGAATAGGAGTTCTGTCGCTGAGCACGTCACCGGGCGATGCCAACGTTGCGCGCGCACCCTTCCCCCCTCCCCTCCCCTCCTCCACCCCCTTCGGCCTTCCCCCCTCCCTTCCCTTCCCCTCCTCGCCTCTCCCGCCCCTCCTCCCCTCCTCCCCTCCGCCCTCTTCCCCTCCTCCCCTCCTCCCCCTCCCCCTGCTCCCCCCTCTCCCCCTTCCTGTGGGAACGAAAAGGTATCCCATACCGCTTCTCGACGGACCCCGGGGTGAGTTCTGACCCGCCTCTCGAGGCGAATCCAGCCGTGGCGACGGAAGGCCTCCACGGAAGCCCTGGAGGCGAGAACGAAGGAACCGCAGCGGCATCGGTACCTTTCTCCTCCTCAGCTCTGGCGCTGCAAACGCACTGCAGCATCGCAAACAATCACGGCAACCACCCGTAGGCCCCGTCTTCCTGTGCCACTCTCCGATCCGAGCCGGACCGAGGCGCGAGGGTCCCGGGGCCCGAGGCCAGGTGAACACGCCCGCCGTGAAACGATTGCCGCGCCAGGGTCTGAGGGCCCCTCCTCCTCTGAGGGGCAACGATCGGGTTCAGTCGGGCCTGTCCCCCTACAGGGGGGTTTTTGACGAAAAATAAAACATACACCCAAAAAAACACCAAAAAGGTAAAACATACTCGAACAAACAATTCCCAGACCATTTTTGGAGTATCTTTCGACTATTTTTGGGGTATTTTTAATTTTTCGTAGAAAATCTCCCTGCAAGGGGACAGGCCCGACTTAACGAGAGGGGGGGGGACTGGAGGGACAGATCGGCCTGGAAGCAGACAGGCCCCGATTAAGGAGTCCACGCGCTCCTGGGCAGCCTGGGGCCATGGGGCCCCCAACGGCGATCAAGCGGCGATTTTGGGGGGCGATGCCTCCTTTCCTGTGGCTGTCCCTCCCTATCGTTGGCCCTGATCCCTCCTCCTCCTCCTCAAGACCCCGTAGACCCAGACACGCTAGACCCGGACACCCAATATCCCTCGAAACCAATTTTTCCAAACGGCGGCACGAACAAAATACTGCACTGCAGCATTTCCCGAATAAGCCCGGACACAGGCCCCAAAAGCCTGCAAGACCCCCCTTAACCCGGACACGCACACGAATCCTGCAGTGCAGCAAACAAAAAATGCACGGGTGCTGAAAAACGTGACTTTGCAGGAAAGGATGGCGTTTCCTTGGTTTTCAGTGTCCTGGTTTATCTGTGTCCTGGTCTCCGGGGGCCTGTCCTCCTCATCCTCCTCCTCCGGATCGGCGACCAACATGAATCGGATCGGCGGAAATCGGCAGCCGAGTCGAGAAAAGTCGAATCGGCGGACATCGGCGGGCCAGTATGCGTCCCATAAGAAGTCGGAATCCAAATCGGAATCACAAGTCGAATCGAATCGGAATCGGAGGCCATCGAAATCGAATCGAATCGAATCGGAGGAATCGAAATGAGCCCTGCTATGGCTATCCCTCCCTGTCGCTGCCCCTGATCCTCCCTTCCCCCAAAGCCCCACGCCCCTGCAGCACGGGCGGCCGCCTGATGCGTCCCATCACGATGGCCGACGGGCTCCTTCCCAAGACAGGCCCCATGTCCATGACCTCTGCCGCCCAGGGCGCGGGGAGGGGGCGGACAAGAGAGGAGGAGGAGGAGGAGGCAGAGGCAGAGGAGGAGGAGGAGGAGGAGGAGGAGAAGGAGAAGCAGGAGGAGGGGGAGGAGAAGGACGTGGAGGACGAGGACGAGGAAAAGGGGGGAGGAGCGAGGGGGAGAGGAGGAGGAAGGGGGAGGAGGTGGAGGAGGAGGAGGAGGAGGAGGAGGAAGGTGGAGGAGGACGTGGAGGAAGAGGAGGAGGTAGGGAAGAACAAGGAGGAGAAGAGGGAGGAGAAAGAAGAGGGGAGGAGAAGTAGAGGAGGAGGGGAGGAGGGGGAGGAGGTGGAGGAGGAGGAGGTGGAGCAGAGGCAGAGAAGGAGGTGGAGGAGGAGAAGGAGAAGGAGAAGAAGGAGGAGGAGCGAAGGTGGGAGGAGGAGAGGGGTGGGGAGGAGGAGGTGGAGGGGAGAGGAGGAGGAGGGGGAGGGGTGAGGCGGGGGGGTGGAAGGGGAGAGGGGGGGAGGAGGAGGAGAGGAGGGCGGAGGAGGAGGAGGAGGAGGAGGAGGAGGAGGAGGAGGAGGAGGAGGAGAGGAGGAGGCGGAGGAGGAGCAAGAGAAGCCTTCCTGGGGATTGGTTCATGCTTCCCTCATGTCTCCCTCTGCACTGTTCCGCTCTCCTGCCCTACACTTGCACTTGCTTCCTCGTGCCCTACGATCGGCAGCTCGTAGGCGATGTTAGGTAGCCGAGCCGAGCCGAGGAGGAGGATCTCCCACTGCCCACTTCTGTACTGCCGCGAAAGACGCCGCCTCCAAATACCCTAGATGCGAAATGCTGGCATTGATGGTACTCCTGTCGGCGACGGCGCCGTTAGTGAGCCGCTGCGTGCCCTCGGTGCGCCATCGAGATTTGGCAAGGCGCTGTCGTACTCATCGAATGAGCGCGCGATCTGCCCTCGCTCGAATGCAAAAATCCCCCCCCCCCTGGGAAACCCCGGGGGGGGAACATTTCCCCCACTCCTCCCTCAAAAACCCGGGGAGGGGGGCCGAACCACCCCTGCCCGGAAACTGGAAACCGTGGGGGGGAAGGGGTGTACAGAAAACCTCCCGCCGCCCCCTTGGAACCCTGCCCGGAAACCAGGGGGGGGAAGGAACAGAACCCCCCCCAGTTTGAGCTCAGGTGAGCTTTGTGTGAGCTTTCATTGAGCCCTGCTGGAGCTTGGCTGGAGCTTTGTTTGAGTTTTTTGTTTAGCTTTGTGCGATCTTTCTTGGAACTTTATTTGAACTTACATATGCTATATTGCAGCTTTGTTGAAGCTTTGATAGAGCATTTAGCATTGTTGGAGCTCTGTTTAGGTGTTGTGTGAGTTTAGTTCGAGCTTTATTTGAGCATTCTACGAGCTTTGCTGGAGCTTTGTCTTAAACTTGGTTGAACATTGTTTGAGCTTTGAGCTTTGTGTGAGCTTTGTTTGGGAGCGCTCTGAGAGCGTTCAAGAATGCTCCTTTGCCTGCATGACCCGAGGAAGAGGAGGAAGAGGGACGCGGAGGAGAGGAGACAGAGGGAGAAAGGAAGACGATGAAGGAAGAGGCGCATGTCAAGGGGCCCAAGGACACACACACACAAATTCGTAAATAACAGGATCCCCCATGCTTTCCCCATATTTCCTCTTTTTGTTTGTCTTCCCCACCACTTCCCCACATTTCCTGTCCTGGGGAATCGACGAGGAATGGTGCCTGTGTGTTGTTGTTCCCCTCCTGCGTACGTATGCGAAGGGGCGGACAGCGGGCACCGGAGCGGGGGGGGCCCTCGACGCTGCGCCGCTGCCAGAGAAGAGCACGCCGAGGCAGCCGGATGGCTGCCAAGAGCTCGCGCGAGACGCCCTTCCCGGCGGCGCCCTTCGAGGCCCCTCCGCCCGGCGCTCCGCCGTCCCTCTAAAACAGGGCTAGGGATAGGGATAGGGATAGGGATAGGGATAGGCTCCAGGTATAAAACAGGGCTAGGATCGGGATAAATCGATCCAGAGCGTTCCGGAGCGCTCTCAGAGCGTTCCGGAACGCTCTGAGAGCGGCCGCGGCGCCCAACGCATCCTCCAAACCCGTCGATATCCTTGGAGATCTCGAGCTATCCCGATCCGACTTTGTCCCGATCTTCGGGTCGTCTTAAGACGCCCTTCCTGGCGGCGCCCTTCGAGGCCCCTCCGCCCGGCGCTCCGCAGTCCCTCCGCCCTTCGAGGTCCCTAGGCGTCCTTCCTCACACCCTTCGGGCCGGGCGAAAGGGGGGGATCGATAGCCAAGGGGGGAATTGAGAATCAGCTCACGTGGCTTATTTTCCCGGCGCCTCCCGGCGCCGGAGGCGCCCATGTATCGAGGAATGGGCCCGGCGGCGGGGCCGAAACCAGCTGCATGCAGGAGACTTCGTACCCCCCCCCTTTCCCAATCCCCCCCTTCCGTCCGGCCCGAGGAGTCCGGGCCTTCTGCCTTCCGAGGGCCTCCCCTCCCTGCCGCTGCCGCCAGGGGCCGGAGCCTGCAAGAGCCTTCGTTCCGCCCTGGGCGCGCGCGCGCTGTGGGCGCGCGCGCGCCCAGGGAGCAGGGCGATGTGGGCGTGCCCACCCTACGTTCTCAAAGGGGATGTGCAGTATGTGCGAGGGTTATTTCAAGACGGGTTCCGCCTTGCTGGCGCCTGCTCTTGTCCACCAGTGTTCCGAGTGCCTCCGATGAGCGCCTGTTGACGCACACGAGTGCGCATCAGCGCCTGCTGGCGCCTACTATAGCGACCACAGGTAAGCAGTAACAGGTAGACACGAGCAGCTGGGGAAGACCGCAACTCATGCTTGAGCATACTCTCACAGATAGCACACACAACAAGGGCCGTCCAAACGCCCACGGTCTGACTACCTACCAAACCACCCCAACCCAACGCCGAAGACCCGAATTTGACCCGAATTTCGGGTTGGGGGGGTACGGGTTCCATGTGTTTTTTCGACGTTCCCCGACCCCCCCCCACTGGAAATCGAGGATACATTGAGGCCTTCGGGTTGGGTTGGGGTGGTTTGGTGGGTGGTGACGGTCAGTTTCGGCGCTGCGTCGGAGCTGCGTGGCGACGGGGACCTCCTCACGGCCGGGGCTGTGGCGACGAGGGCACCCGGGAAGGCCCAGAGGCAGCAGCAAAAACGGTGCGACGGCGTCGACGTCGTAGGCCTCCCCTCTATGAAATGTCGGCCGGTGCGTTCTGAACACCACGTCAAGGCCGATCCAGCCGTGGCTGCGGACAAACGTGAAGAGGGCGAAGCACGTCCAAAAACACTCGGTCAATCCTGCACCCTCGACCCCCGAGCCTCCACGGGGGGCTCTCAACGGGCCCTGGAAACGGCAAGGCAATTGTTTTGTTCGCTTTCGCAGAACGTGCTGTCTTTGAAACGTGAAGACTGTGGAACACACGGGCCTGCTCGTGGAGGCAAGGCACAGACAGCTGCTCCGGGATTGGAGCTGGGACCGAGATGGGAACAACAGACAGCGAAAAGGCAAAAAACAACTGCAAAACGGAGCACCTAAAACAATGCCCTGTCGTTTCCCTGGCCAGATAAGCGAGGGGGAGACGCAGGAGAATCCATCATCGAATCGATTAATCGGATAGGCGATCAAAATGAATCGAATCGGAGGAAATTGGCACGCCGCTTAAGGCCTCGGCTGAGAAACCGAAAACCCATCGGAATCTGAAGGCGAAGCGAATCGGAATCGGAACACTCTGAAATCGAATCGAAGCGAGTCGGAGGCGTCGAATGGGCCCTGGAGGGGTGGAGAGGGGAGTGCCTTCTGCTGCAGCTCTGGCGGCAGCGTGCGCAGGGAGCCCACGGCGCTGGCGTCAAGGCCTCTCCAGCCGGCGGCGGGCCGTCGCCGCCATCGCGAGCCAGTCGAGCACGGCACATCGAGCAGGGCTGGACCTAAGCGATGGTTTGGTTTTGTGTTCCGATTTCTTGTCCGATTTGTTCTGGCTGTTCCCCTGGGCACCGTCGCCACCGCCAGCGTCGACATTGGTTTAGGATATCGCAAATCGACGCCGTAAGCTTTTGAGCAGTGCAGGCCCTGCTCTGGCCTCCCAGAACGTCCACGAACCCTGCCTGGAGACCTTCCGAATCGGTCGTCGTAGCCGCTGTCGACGTCGTCGGCGTCGTCGCCGTCGCGGCCGCAGCCGTCGTCGCCGTCGCGGCCGCGGTCGTCGTCGCCGATAAGACTCGGATCTGGAAATAGTCCAACAGACCTGCACGGTTTCCCCCGGGACCGTAGGCGACCCGAGGAGGAGGAGGAGGAGGAGGAGGAGGAGGAGGAGGAGGAGGGCGGAGGAGGAGGAGGAGGGAGGAGGAGGAGGAGGAGGAGGAGGAGGAGGAGGGGAGGAGGAGGAGGGAGGAGGAGGGGGGGAAGGAGGAGGAGGAGGAGAGGAGGAGGAGGGTCGCCTAAGCCCTTCGGAGAAACCCTCCACACAGACCCCCAGATCCACGCGAGATCCAGCATGCGCAGTCACAATCGCAGCGTGCCTGGCCTCTCCTCCTCCTCTCCTCCTCCTCCCTCCTCCTCCTCCTCCTCTCCTCCTTCCTCCTTCCTCTCCTCCTCCTCCCCCTCCCCCTTCCCCCTCCCTCCCTCCCCCTCCCCCCTCCCCCTCCCCCCCTCGCCTGCCCGTTACCGAATACGATGCCGATGCCGCGACCCTTCCCTCGCTCCCGTCTTTCTGTCAGGCGCGGGCGAACCCCTTTGAAGGGGCCCAGGACACACAAATAAATACACACAAATAGAATAATCCCCTATAGTTTCCCATATTTTCTGGGTTTATGTCTTCCCGCCCACTTCCCATATTTTCCAATATTTTCTGGGAGATCGAAGATTAATCGTGTCTGTGTGTTTTGTTCCCCTCCTGATAACCCCTTGCCGCGACGTCACCCTCGCTCTTCCGGCTGCCGCCAGGCCGCACCGATGCGCCGTGGGGGGCGAGGCGACGGGCACGCAGCAGAGAGGGGGTGGTTTGCCAAGGGCCGGTGGCGCCGCCCCTGATTATTAGGGAGCCCACAAGGGACGTTCGCACCCAGCGGTGTACATGAACGCGGCCCCTCGATCCGCGAGACCAAACGCGTTATACGAACATTTGCGCAATGCGTACTCTCGAAACCAGCGTGGATTCATTTACGTGTACGTCCTTCTTTCGCTCCTGAGTTATGGCCCCTGCCCCCCCCCCCGCATGGACGACCCCGGAAATACAACCAAACTTTTTTGTGGCAACGTTTACTGTTCGCCGGGAACACGAAACTGACACCTAAAAGGACACAGATTGTGCAGAACAAACAAACAAAAGAGACCAACAAAACCAAGAAAGGTTGATAATATTAATTGACCCTGCTTATGCAGCTTCAATAAGAGATCAAAAAAGGGCATAAACCTAAAAACTCGGAGGTCCGCGCGGATTTCTCGGATCGGCGATGAGGCCCCCCGGCGGCGCCTCCGGCGCCGCCCCTGGCGCGCTCCGCGCGCCAGGGAGGGGGATCCAGCGCAGGTTCCGAGAATTCCGCGCGGACCTCCGAGATTTTATTTGTGTGTCATGTTTCGTTCCCCTGTTCAAAACCACAGTATGCCCTGGCCACGAAGCCAAAGAAATGTTACAACAGCACGCCACCCTCAAAGTCCCCGTTTGGGCCCGGCGCCCGGGCGCGCCGTTGTGCGCCGCCCACTGGCCCACCGCGTCGTCCAGGCCGCCCGCGGGCGCCTGCGGGGAGGCCGGGCCAGCGCGGCACCCGTCGCTGCTGCATGCGGACAGCTGTTGCCTATCGCCGGCGATGACCGTCGGCGTCGTCCCTCCTCCTCCTCCTCCTCCTCCTCCTCCTCCTCTTCCTCCTCCTCCTCCTCCTCCTCCTCCTCCTCTTCCTCCTCCTCCTCCTCCTCCTCCTCCTCCTTTTCCTCCTCCTCTTCCTCCTCCTCCTCATCCTCCTCCTCCCCCCCTCCTCGTCTTCCACCTCCTTTTCCTTTTCCTCCTCCTCCTCCTCCTCATGATCCTCCTCCTCCTCCTCCTCCTCCTCATCCTTTTGCTCGTTGTCCTCTTCGCTCTCGAGATTTTTCCCTGTCGTTTCTGTCGCCCATTCCCGCATCATTTTCGTCAGTCCGCGCCACCTTCCCTCCCTGTCCGCGAAGCGAGGATTCACTCATTTCCGCAGCTTGGGAAACTGTCGTCCTCGGAACCGACGTCCTGGGCCCCAAGCGGGCGGTGGATTTTTTTTGTGTTTTGGACACCGCGGGCCTGTCAATATCAAAGAAACCCAGGTCCTCAACTCTTTGGAGCGTGCTGGACTACAAACGGAACCTAATTTCAATCAAACTCAAACTCCGTAAAATCGAATCGACTTCAAACCCGAGACACGTTTAAAAGTACTGACCGGTCCCCAGTAAAGCCGCCCGATCGACCCTCCTCGGCCGTCGGCGCTGCGTGTGGGCGGAGGCGGAGGGCGAAAGCCAGAAGGGCCAGCAGCCGCATCAACTCACGACGAGAACGCAGGCAAACGCGCAGCGTCATCACAACACGCGGTGCTTCTCGCGACTGCCGGCCTTCATGTTGATATAGATCAATCGACCGCTCCACAGCGTCTTGGTCAAACACTTTCGTGAAGAGGTCGGCCAGAAACCAATAGCCATCGGCCGTCTTCATCACCAGCCTCCTGTCCTGGAAATGGTTCCTGCAGCCAAACGAAGCGCGCGTCCTGGTGTCGAAAAGCTCCTGGCCCATGTCGGCTCGCAGTCCTTCCGGCAGCTGAGCTGCCGCTGCAAACGTGAAGGCTTCACTTCGCAGTCCGAACAAATCAGTTCCCAAGCATGTCAGCGCCGCCCGCGCTCGAAAACCTCGGCTGGATCCACGAAGCAGAGAGTTGCTGTCAACTTCGCCAATAATTGAGCTCACGAAGAATTTGGGCCGCGCTGCCGCGGTTCAGCAAGTGCGACCCCCATAGTGCTGCAACTCCGCTTCTCGTAAGCAGTGCGCGCCCGCCTTCTTGGGCAGCTTCTGAGCAGGAAACAACAACCTTCCATCAGGGTGCTTCCTCAAGTGGCGCCCGACCTTCGGCGGGCCCTCAACGGTGGTATCCTGCGGCTCCTTCATGCACCTGGCCTGCGTGCTCGCGGCGGAGCGGATGTCGGGCCTGCCCGCGCCCGGGCAGACGATCCCCATGGTCGCGCGGCGGTCGGCCTTGATCCTGTCGCCAGACTTCCGAAGAGGTGCGATCGTTGTCCAACACCTCCGACGCCGACCCCATGACAACCTTCGTCATGATCCCCTTTGCTTCCCCCAGGCCAGCGCCCCCGATCGCCCGCAGAGACGGGGATATGGCCACCGTCGCATTGAACGCCTCCAGCGGACGCATGGCCGAGAACAACTCGTGTCATCTGACTTCGCCGCCGCCTCGATTACTCTCGCGAACAAGCTCGAGCGGCATCGTCGTTGAGGTCGATCGCCCCTGCCCGAGTCGATCCAATCCAGAGCGACTGCCTTCTCGCCCTTCTGAATCATCTCCTGTCTAGGTGCCATCCCACATATCTTCCCTCAGCGGCCCCGCCCCAGCCTTTCCTTCCCCCCAGCGCGGGCCCCCATCGGGATCGAAAATGCCGCTCGTGAGACCGCCCATGAAGTAGTCGCTCCGCAACGCAGCGAACACCTCTGCACCGATTGCGCGCGGGTGAGGTCCTCCACGCAGAGACGCCAGGGAAGTGGGGCCCCCGCGTCGTCGAAGCTCCACTCGCAAGCCTGCAAGTATTGCTGCCGCCAAACTCAGGGCGGCATCGCTGCGCGCGTCTGGCTCGCCCATCGACAGAGCGAACGTGGCGAGGAAGCTTTCCGCTCGGACCTCCGGGGCATTCGCAGTGGCCTCTGAGGGCGTTCGCAAGAAGCCCGTTGTCGTGGAGCCGCCCGACCTCCTTCCGAACGAAGCCCGGCGCCCGCGGGCGCCAGCGGCAAATGGGACAACGGACCCGGCGTACGTTAGCCGACCCCGATAACCACCTGAACGCTTGGGCGGGGCCGGCTGATCGCCGACAAAGGTGCGTCGCGAGGAAATTGCTTCAATGCCTTGTGGCGCCCCTTGCAGATCCCCATGCTGAAGTGGAGGTGGCCTCGCCCTCTAGGACGTCTGCCTCGACGATCTTAGGTCGCGCTTTCAATCCGACGACTTGCAAAGGTTGGTGGGTGACGCGCAAGGAGGGCTAGCGATCGTCGGCAGCGAGCCGTCATTCCGCAGCTCAACCCATTGCGTGCCTTCCGTTGTTCCTGGCAACCATGAGTCCCGTCCTGTCTCGACGCCCGCCGCCGGGCTGCGCGCGTGGCCATGCCTGAACATTAACTCTGCGAGCCTTCTCGGCTCCGCAATGCCGCCGCGCACATGTCAAAACATTCGCAATATCCGCCGCCTTCTGCGAGTCCAACTGGCAACTGTCAACGCGAGCGAACAAGGGCATATCGAATGCGACCATCCTATAGACAGCGGCGAGCATGCCACCCTTGTCGCCACCATTCAAGCATTCCCGCATGTCAGCATCCAACGCAGGGCTTCGCGCCAGAATCGACCTCGGAGCCGACGCCGACGCCGACGCAAACGCTGTGCCAGACGACGCTGCCTGGAGCATGCGCGCATACACTCAGTCCCCCACGTGCATCTGCGTCTGCTCTGATGGCGCCCCTCGCCTGTCTGCGAAGCGTTCTTCAACGCCTTCAGGCGCTGTCTCTTCTGGCACATCTCCTCGGATCCGGGTAGCTCGTCAAAGATCGAGCGCAACTGCTCGGGCTTTCTACAAGCGCCAGACCGCCGCTGCTCTGCAGTGAGACCGTCAGCTCCACATCGGCTGCGACCTAGGCAAGCCGCGACGCACTGGGGGCAGGCGCATCGAGATGGGATGCGCGACGCCCACGCGCTGCCGGAACTCGGCTTCCACCGCGAGGCCGCGCTCTGGAACTGCAGTGGCCGACGCGCAAGGCGGAACTCATCAGGATCTCGACCGCGGATGCGGCGCCCTCCTCTCCTCGCCGAGGACAGCCGACAAATGCGGCCGCTTCGTCGTGGAAGCCTCCGCCGCCAACGTCGGGGAATTGCCTTCCTGGCATTCGCGCCCCTCGCCCCGAGACTTCGCCGGCAACGCGGGGGCCCCTGGAATGAAGTTCAGAAGGCGCGACAAAACGCCATCGGAGACGCGGCCGCCCGCAACTGCGCTTGACATCGTGCGCAGGCGCAGATGGCGCGGGCAACTATTTCTAGGTCGGGCACGTCCACGCGCGGGCGGATTTCGGAAGAAATAGTAATCAACAACAGCATAAATATGCATGTTGCTTCTTCGTTTGAAAAATGGCCCGAAGATAGCCCACGCTGTTCTGCTGCGTTTGAACTGTCCCCGTAGAGGGACATGCGGGACTTGGAACTCCCTTGGCAGGGCTCGCCAGGGAAAACTGGTTTGGCTAATGATTTTTTGGGCGGCTTCTGACCGCGGCCACGCGGCCGCGCAACTTCCGCGGATAAGCCGCCGGGGCGACATTGCGCACGGGGTCGACCGAACGAGGGCGGCCGCGGCGACGACCTCCGCAAGTCGAACTCGCCGGAAAACCAGTGCAATCCAACCAAAGCATTTCTGGCAACTGGGGCGGCGAGACAAAACGCGATCCAAAGCGTCCTGGACATGCGAGGCCGCCGTGGCTCCCGCGGCCTTTTGCCCCGGCCGGAAGCCACGCGCCCCTCCGCTCAAGCACCTCTTCTTCGTCCTCCGACCACCCGCTCGCCTCCGCGCCCCCCCCCCCTGCCCCCCCTAGACTTTCCTCCGTGCCCCCCCCCTCATGTCCGTCGCCCCCCTTCCCTGGCCCGCCCCCCCATCCCGCCCCCCATCCCGCCCCCCCTTCACCCGCCGCCCCCGCGCCTCTTCTCCCCCCTCCAAGCCCTCCGTTTGCGCCCCCGTGCCCCCCCCCCCTCCACGCGCACGCACGCACTCACGCACACGCACGCACGCGCACATCTGAGAGCCCCTCTCCGCCGCAGCCCTCAAGGGCACGCCCCCCCCCCCCGCGCCCCCGCGCGTCGAGCCATTTCTGAAGACAGAGAGGAAGCAGCAAACAGATGCCACCTGGCCCGATCCAGCACAACCGATGGCCCACGTCGTCTTGGACCGCCTGCATGTAGGATCCCGCGGGGCCCGGGGGCCCTCTTGCACGTTGGGCGCTGGGGGTGCCCCAGGGGCTCGCACCGACGTCTGCAGTGCGCCGCGGGAGGGGCCCGGGGGCCCGTTTCGAACGCATGCGGGGTCTGGGGGGATGAGGGGGGGAATCGGGGAGAGGAGAGGCGAGGGCGAGAGGGCGGGGGGCGGGGGTGGGTGGGGGGAGGCCAAGGAAGGCGCGGAGGATCAGGGCGAGAGCGGTGGCGGCGAGGACGCGGGCGACGAGGCCGAAAACCGAAGGGAGGAGGGCGGGGGAAAGAAAGCGATGGCGAGCAGGGGAAGGAGCGGGACGACGACGCACACGGGGAGGGGATCGAGCAGAGCCAGCGGGGTGACGAGGAGAAGGCAAGGGAAGGGGGGGAGTTGTTGAAGGAGCATGGCCATGGAGAACCTATGGGGGGCGGGTCGGACTTCGCAGCTACTCTGGGCATCGCAAAAATAACTTCGGGGATCAAACGCCTACTTGACACCTACTTGAATCGACGCAGCAAAGCCTAGAAATCTCAAGACCCCGCGTTGCACGATTTATCTGGC